ATTTGTGGCATAATGTGTTCATCTACAAAATAGTCAATTTGATGGATCGTTAGAATTATTGTTCTATGTTTAAAAACGCGGTATTTGAGGTTCCGATATGGTTGCAAATAACTTGGACAGTTTTTATGCTAGGGCATTAGTTTACGCACCATTTTAAAGCATTACAGGTGCACTTTATTTTGGTGTATAATTGTGGCATAATTTTATAGTTTTTCATGTTATAACAGTCTTTATATATCTTTTTATTGCATTATAGTTGCCATTTGCTTGGTATATAATTTATTCCATAATATATTTTTGGAAAATGGCCAATTGGATAGATCGGTAGAATTATTTTCACAGCTTTAAAAACGCGGTAGTTTGAGGTTCCGATATGGCTGCAGATAACATTGACAGTTTTCACGTATGACAGTCATTTATGCATCATTTTAAAGCATTATGATTGCACTTTAATATGGTATATCATTTGTAGCATAATGGTGTATTTTACAAATTGGTCAATTTGATAGATCGGTAGAATTATTGTTCTATGTTAATAAACGCAGTAATCTAGGTTCCCGATATGGTTTGGCAGTTTTCGTGCTAGGACGTCGTTATGCACCATTTAAAGCATTAAAAATTGCCATTTGTTTGGTATATAATTTATTGCATAATTTATTTTTAGAAACTGGCCAATTGGATAAGATCGGTATGATTATTTTCACGGTTTAAAAAGGCGGTAATTTGAGGTTCCGACTTAGGTTGTGAATAACTTTGACAGTTTTCATGCTATGACAGTCATTTATGCATCATTTTAAAGCATTATGATTGCACTTTAATTTGGTGTATAATTTATGGCATAATGAATTTTACAAAATTTGGATAGATCGGTATATTTATTGGTACAGGTTTAAAAATGCGGGTAAATTCAAGGCTCCGATATGGTTGCAAATAACTTTTATAGTTTTCATGTTATACAGTCGTTTATATATCTTTTTATTGCATTATAGTTGCCATTTGTTTTGGTATATAATTTATTGCATAATGTATTTTTAGAAGATGGCCAATTGGATAGATCGATAGAATTATTTTCCCAGGTTTAAAAAGGCGGTAATTTGAGGTTCCGATATGGTTGTGAATTACTTTGACAGTTTTCATGCTATGACAGTCATTTATGCATCAGTTTAGAGCGTTATGATTGCACTTTAATTTGGTATATCATTTGTGGCATAATGTGTTCGTCCAAAAATGGTCAATTTGATGGATCGGTAGAATTATTGTTCTATGTTTAAAAACGCGGTAATTTGAGGTTCCGATATGGTTGCAAATAACTTTGAAAGTTTTCATGCTAGGGCATTAGTTTACGCATCATTTTAAAGCATTACAGTTGCACTTTATTTTGGTGTATAATTTGTGGCATAATGAATTTTTACAAAAATTGGATAGATCGGTATATTTATTGGTACAGATTGAAAAATGCGGTAATTTAAGGCTCCGATATGGTTGCAAATAACTTTTATAGTTTTCATGTTATAACAGTCGTTTATATATCTTTTTATTGCATTAGAGTTGCCATTTGATTTGGTATATAATTTATTCCATAATATTTTTGGAAAATGGACAATTGGATAGATCGGTAGAATCATTTTAAAGCATTATGATTGCACTTTAATATGGTATATAATTTGTAGCATAATGTGTGTTTTTACAAATTGGTCAATTTGATAGATCGGTAGAATTATTGTTCTATGTTTAATAAAAGCAGTAATCTTAGGTTCCGATATGGTTGCAATTAACTTTGGCAGTTTTCGTGCTAGGACAGTCGTTTATGCACCATTTTAAAGCATTAAAATTGCCATTTGTTTTGGTATATAATTTATTGCATAATGTATTTTTAGAAAATGGCCAATTGGATATATCGGTAGAATTATTGTTATATGGTCGTCTGCTTGTCGATGTAAACGTTAACTTTTCTCTCCCATCTAAACCCCACTACATACGTTGCCACTATCTGGCAACATCGTATGTAGTGTGGTGAGTTTGCGTTTGCTGACAACTACATGGCTTGTGCTTTTTTCTCCTTTTTTTTATTATAACTTTGCATCGAGCTACAGACGGACTATTGGTTTGAAATAAGTAAAATTACAATTAAAAACAACTAAGGAGTAAAGAAACTTAAAATTGAAAGTAAATTTAATTGTAACTAAATAGAGCTTAAAAACAAATAAACCAAATTTAAAACAAAAAATAAGAAGAATAAAACAAACAAAAGTGAACTAAAGCCAAAATAAGGGTTGTTTTTTTCTTTCGTTACAAGAAGTGTGTGTGTGCAGTACAAAATCTAACAACCTGCACAATAGCCAAGCCGCAAGTGGATTAGACCAGCTCCAAACAAACACCGGCCACCAAAAGTGCACCAGCTCCAACCAGGTAAAAATCGAGGAAATAAACATTGGTCCTTTCGCCCGTCCTAGAAAAAATAAAGGTGCGTAATAAATTTTCATTTAAAAAGTGCAAAGTGTGGTCCATAATTTGTGTCTCGAAAAGTGAGGTTAGATAACCTTAACAATTGCAACAAAAAGTTATAAAAAGGTGCCCATTTTTGTTTGCTTCGGTTCCAGATTTTTGTATTTGTAGCTCATTTGAGAGCCAAAATTTGTCGTCCATCTTTTTTTCCACATTTTTTAATATTAAAGTGAAAATTTATTGGAATTCAAACGGTGGTTCTGTTCAACTCTTGTTGTTTTTATTTATTGCAAACTTCAGTGGTTCTCTTCATTACCTGTTTGTTTGTTACAAAGCGGTGGTTCTCTTTTAAGTTTGATATTGTTATGAACATTTGTAGTTCTTATTAGTCGTTTCTCTTTTATTGGAAAAATATAGTTCGAATTTTTCAATAGTCTCTCTTAAACTAAAATCTTTAAATATGTCGATTTTTGAAAAATTTATAATAGCAGCGGACGAAATAACTAGCACTGAGACAATGCTAAAAAGTGAAGATTTTTCGAATTATACAGAAGAGGCTTTGAATTCGAAAAAAATGAGTTAAATAAGGCATGGGAAAATTATAAAAGTCTTTATGATGAATGTTCCGCTGACACGATAGAGAAAAAGAAGGAATTAATAATGGTTCAAACAAAGCATCCACAAGTACGAAAAACATATGTGAGATGCATTAATATAATTTCAAAAGCTAAGAAACTTTTAGATAAAAAGAAAAATGAGAATTCAGAAACAGGAGTTCCCAATCTTTGTGGTTCCATAGCTGTACCTCCATGTGATACGGGTATTTTTCATGGGGACTATGAATCGTGGCCCACATTTAGGGACATGTTTACTGCAATTTATATAAATAACAGTAGACTTAGCCCAGTTGAGAAACTATTTTACTTATTTAGAAAAACAGATGGTGAAGCCAGGGATATTAACAGAAATGTAGCTCTAACCGCAGAGAATTTTAATATAGCTTGGAATAACTTAAAGGTTCAATACGAAAATAAACGTGTTTTGATTAACAGTCAATTAAAATTGCTTTTTAATTTGGCTCCATGCCAACAGGAATCGGCTTGTGAAATTAAAAGACTTCAAAGAGAAATAAATAATTGTATGGCTATTCTTAAGTTGTATAATGTAGACATTAATTCGTGGGACCCAATTTTTGTATTCCAATGTTCATCGAGGCTCACAGAATGCTCACTTAATTTGTGGGAACAATCGGTGGGAAACAAGACAGAGGTTCCCAAATGGGAAGAATTAAACAATTTTTTAACTGATCGATTTCATGCCCTAGAGAGTGTTTCGGACATTATTACAATAAACAGTGCACATTCCAGTGGTTCCCAAACAAATGCTACTCAAATAGCATCAAAAACTAAACAATTTAAAATCACACCATACTAAAGTCAGCTCATTTCAATGTAAATTATGCAAAGAAAACCACAAATTAAGTTCTTGTAGCATGTTTATGAACATGGATTACAAAACTAGGGTATCAACATTAAAAAAATTCAGGTTTTGCTTCAATTGCCTTACTATTGGCCATATGTATGGCGATTGTAGTAGTCCTAATGGTTGCTCTAAATGCAAACGAAAGCATCACACTCTAATGCATAGAGAATTCATAAAGAAACCTATTCAAAATCAGACTAATTCTTCTCAAAGTGAAGTTCAAAATTCTCAAAACATTGTTCCCCAACCACAATCATCAAACATTGCAGGTCCGTCTGGAATAGTTCAATCGCATCACACATCTGTTTCTAAAAAAGTTATGTTAGCTACAGCTTGGGTCAATATTATTAATGGTGGTATTTTTTATAAAGCTCGTGCTCTTATAGATCCTTGCTCTGATGAGAGTTTTATTTCTGAAAAACTGCAAAAATTATTAAAGTTGCCCACTAACCCTGTTTCAGCAGAAATTACTGGCCTTGGTGGCGACATTATAAGTAGATCATCTAAAATAGCATCCTTTGTAATTACCTCTGTTTATGATCCACAATTATCCGTTAATGTACAAGCATTAGTAGTCTCTCGTGTAACTGGAAATGTTCCACGCATTCATTCAATCCAGTAGATTATGAAAACTTACCTAAACTAAATTATGCAGATCCAAAATTTTTAAATGTGATCAAATTGATCTCTTGTTAGGGAGGAGATTTATATCCTTTAATACTTCGTGGTGGAGTAAAACATGGAATTTTTGAGTCCTTAGTTGCCCAAGAAACCATTTTTGGTTGGATTATTACAGGTCCAACCCCAAATAATGTTTCCCCTCGTATATTAAGAGTGTCTCATATGACAAAAGTTACAATTAATGACCATTTGACAAAATTTGGGAATTAGAGGAAGTTTCTCATAAGAAAATTTTATCAGAAGAGGATAAAAAATGTGAAGAAATATATCGCTCTACTACCACTCGGGATTCTGAAGGAAGATATACTGTCAGTTTGCCCTTTAAAAACAGTTTTAAGTCACTTGGTCCAAATAGACATATTGCTCTTAGTCAATATTTAAGAAGTGAGAAAATGCTACTACGTAAACCTGAATTTAAGGCCCAGTATGATGAGGTCCTAAAAGAATATTTATCACTAGGACATATGGAAATGCTTGAAAATACGTCATATGGTTCAGGATATTATTTACCTCATCATGGTGTTTTTAAGCCAGAAAGTACAACTACAAAATTAAGAGTAGTATTTAATGCCTCTTGCAAATCATCTACTGGCAAAAGTCTGAATGATTTGTTGTACACTGGCCCAATTTTACAAACAGATTTAGTAGCTCTAATATTAAAATGGAGATTTTATGAGTTTGTTTTTAACGCTGACATCTCAAAAATGTATCGTCAGATCTATATAAAACAAGAACATAGAGCATTCCAGAAAATTTTGTTTCGTAGTTCTGATAATAAGGAAATTGAAGATTTTCAATTAAAAACAGTTACATTCGGTGTAAATTGTGCCCCATATTTAGCTCTTAGGACCCTGCTTCAATTAGCTGATGATGAAGAGCAAACTTTTCCCCTTGGCTCACAAATTCTTCGTGAATTTATGTATGTAGACGATGCTCTAGTAGGAGCTCATTCTATATCAGACGCTCTAGAGGCAAGAAACCAATTAATTGGTATAATGAATACTGCAGGGTTTGAGTTAAGAAAATGGACCTCAAACAGCAAGCAAATTTTAAAAAATCTGCACGAAAGTCATCTTCTAAATTCATCCTTTTTGTCGCTCGATGATAAAAGCACTACGAAAATGCTTGGCGTTCGTTGGAATGCAGCTGGTGATTATTTTTATTTTTATACTGAGAAAATAGGACTAAAGACAAGTTATACAAAACGAGAAGTTCTTTCAGTTATAGCTCGTCTTTTTGATCCTGCAGGATGGTTAGCTCCTGTAGTGATCACAGCTAAAATATTAATGCAAAATATGTGGCTCGATAAAATCGAGTGGGATGATTGTATTAAACCATTAACGTTAAAAAAATGGCAAGATTTCATTTCAAAATATAATGATATAAATTACATTAAGCTTTCTCGGTGGGTACAGTTTAGTCCAAATTATAAAATTGAATTTCATGGTTTTTGTGACTCATCAGAATTAGCATATGCAGCCAATATTTACGTAAGGGTAGAAACTAATTGTAACGTCTATACAAATTTGCTCGTTTGCAAAACAAAAGTAGCTCCGATAAAAAAGCCATCTTTGCCCCGTTTGGAATTGTGTGGAGCAGTCCTTTTAGCAAATTTGATCGAAAGTGTAATTCCAAATTTGAATATTAATTTGTATTCCCTATATTTGTGGTCCGACTCAACGATAGTTCTTGCGTGGCTACGAAAGCCTCCTTGTACTTGGAAAACCTTTGTAGCAAACAGAGTAGCCACAGTACTAGAAAAAGTTGGAAACGAAAACTGGTTTCACATAGCATCTGGTGATAATCCTGCTGATCTAGCAACCCGGGGGCTGATGCCTTTGGAGTTGAAAGACAATAACCTATGGTGGCACGGTCCTAAATGGCTTAAATCGAATAGATCGACTTGGCCCAAAGGCCCTTTAGTATATGAAACTTCAGAAGAGGCAAAGGAAGTTCAAGTTAATATTGCTAGATCGATAGAAAAAGAAGATTTTCTTAACCGTTTCTCAAGTTTGCCCAGAGCTTATCATGTAATTGCTTACATCTTTAGATTTTACAATCTAGCTAGTAAGAGCAGACGAAAGTCCTTTAATTATGGCTCTCTTAGAATTTCAGCTCAGGAACTTTTTTTCGTACGTCAGCGGTTATTTTTCTTGTCGCAGCAATTTCACTTTGCGACCGAATTCAACAGTTTGTCAACAAAGAAGAAAATTGATCCTCGTAGTCCTTTATTAACTCTTACTACTCCGTTTTTAGATAGAAATAACCTTATTCGCGCTAACGGTCGTCTTGGCTCAACCAAGTGTTTATCCTACAATGAACGTCATCCTATTATACTTGCATATAATAGCAGGATAGCACGTTTATATGTAGAATTTGTGCATTTACTAGTTTATCATGGAGGTCCTCGCTTAGTTCTCAACATTGTTCGTCAAGAATGCTGGATACTAAAGGTAAAAAACTTAATAAAAACCGTCATTCACAATTGCAAAGTTTGCACATTATACCGGAAAAAGTTACAAACTCAAATTATGGCAGACTTGCCTATTGAAAGAACTACCTTTAGTCGCCCTTTCACTAATACCGGCGTTGACTTTGCTGGCCCTTTCGAAATTAAAAGTTTTACAGGCAGATACTCTCGTATTTCAAAAGGTTATGTGTGTCTCTTTGTCTGTTTTTCTACGAAGGCTATTCATCTGGAAGCAGTAAGTGATCTGTCTACTCCTGCGTTTTTAGCCGCTTTAGCTCGTTTTATAGCACGTCGTGGTTGCCCAAGTCGTATTTTCTCCGATAATGGTAGAAATTTTGTAGGTGCTGCACGAGAACTAGAGTCTAATTTTGGAAAACTTGTAAAAGAACTGCGAGATACAGCTGTTGAAAAATATGGTCATCAACATTTAGAATGGAGTTTCATCCCTGCTGCAGCCCCACATATGGGTGGATTGTGGGAAGCTGGCGTGAAGAGTCTGAAAATACACTTCAAGAAAACTGTAGGCCAATCAAAATTCACCTTTGAGGAGTTTGCTACACTTTTAGCAAGAATAGAAGCGTGTCTCAACTCTCGTCCATTAGGTCCTATATCAGAAAACATTGATGATTTGTCTGCCCTAACACCTGGCCATTTTTTAATAGGTTCTGCTTTACTTACTCCGGCTGATCCAGAAGAAACAGAATTGGCTCATAATATACTCAATAGGTGGCGAAAAGTAAAAGCTCTGCAACAGGAACTCTGTCACCGTTGGAAGGAGGAGTACTTAAAAGAACTGCAAAAACGCAATAAATGGAAACATCCTCAAACCAACCTGAAAGAAAATGACCTTGTGGCCTTAAAAAATGAACCATGTAGTCCCACAGAATGGCGGTTAGGTCGTATTGTAAAAGTTTTTCCTGGTCCTGACGGTAAAGTTCGGGTGGCTGATCTCAGAACGCAAAATGGCATAATTACTCGACCAATACACAAATTAGTTCTGCTCCCTAATTGCTCTGATTAAATTTCCATAAACATCTTCTTTAAAATAATCTTGCCCAATTAAAATTTCAGGTTAATATGGACTTCAATACTGAATTTGGATGCCCTCTTTGCAATAGATACCATGCTATTCGCGTCTGTTCCAAATTCATGGTGATGCCCGTGGAACTCAAACTTAGAGTGGTGGCTCAGCACTTATTGTGCTACAATTGTCTAGCCCAATCACACAGTCGCTCAGAATGCAGAAGCATCGATCGGTGCCGGCGTTGTATGCAGGACCATAACACCTTACTGCATCCTACACCGCAAGAAAGTATTTGGTTCCCGATGACAGCGACGGTACGAGTGGTAACAAAATTTTCCACGGACGCATTCGTGCGTGCTCTAATTGACCCCACAGCAGCCAGATCCTCTATCATGCAGAGTGAAATAGACGGCCTCGAATTGGGTGTTCATCAGGGCCGCACGAACATAGTGGTATACCATAGCCACGAGGAAAAGAGAAGAATAAATGTAGAATGCGTAGTGGAAAAGAGAAGATTTGGCTGTACCCCTTCAGCAAGTATTGACCGCGCTGATAAATATCCACGTCCAAGGGCAGTCGATCGTGCAAATGCGGACGTACACTGGCATATTAGTCGCCCATATCAGTTGATATTAGGAGCAGACGCCATGAGCCGTGTTTTATTAGGACCAGCTACAAGACGTCCTGGACAGATATACGCCCAAAACACCATCTTTGGGATTGCATATTTCGGTGAAGGCATAAAAAGAACCTAGAAATTTGTCTTACTTTTAAACATTTGTTGCCCATGAGAGGCATTTGAATTCATATTGAAATTATTGTTTTTGTTATATATATATATATATATATATATATATACATATATTTGTCGTCCTAAGAGGCATTTGAATTCATATTGAAATTATTGTTTTTGTTATATATATATTTGTCGTCCTACGAGGCGTTTGAATCAACATTGAATTTAAAATTGCTGTTATTTTTTATTTAATTACATTCATTTAACTATAAGAAAGATGATCTCATGTAGTTCAGTATTAGTGATTTAATTATATGAATTCCTATTTAATTTGTAATACATATAAAATAAAATAAGAATATATTTAAAAGTTATTTAATTTTTCAAATATAAATTGTTATTAATAATAAGTTAATTTTGGTTGCACCACCGTTGCAAGGGTGGCGGTAATGTTTATATGGTCGTCTGCTTGTCGATGTAAACGTTTAACTTTTCTCTCCCATCTAAACCCCACTACATACGTTGCCACTATCTGGCAACATCGTATGTAGTGTGGTGAGTTTGCGTTTGCTGACAACTACATGGCTTGTGCTTTTTTCTCCTTTTTTTATTATTAACTTTTGCATCGAGCTATCAGACGGACATATTGGTTTGAAATAAGTAAAATTACAAATTAAAACAAACTAAGGAGTAAAGAAACTTAAAATTGAAAGTAAATTTAATTGTAACTAAATAGAGCTTAAAACAAATAAACCAAATTTAAAACAAATAATAAGAAGAAATAAAACAAACAAAAGTGAACTAAAGCCAAAATAAGGGTTGTTTTTTTCTTTCGTACAAGAAGTGTGTGTGTGCAGTACAAAATCTACAACCTGCACAATAGCCAGCCGCAAGTGGATTAGACCAGCTCCAAACACCGGCCACCAAAAGTGCACCAGCTCCAACCAGGTAAAAATCGAGGAAATAAACAAAGTCTGTTCCACGGATTGCAATGATATTGGTATCCATTTAAAGCGCAAGAGCTGGGGAATGTAATGATACTAGCCTAATTCCAAAATATGACAAAGTTTTAAAGTTATAATCAAACGAATTGCAAACTACCTTATAATTTTAAAGTTTTTCAATACTTTTTAAGCTGAAGTCTCCGTGGATGCGAAATTCTTCAAAAGTATTATGTTTTATGTAAAACTAGAATTCATAGGCTTTCCATGGATACCAATATCATTAAAATCGCTTTAGCCGTTATGAAGCCAGAAGAACTTAAATATTTTGAATATGCGATTTCAACCTACTACTTCATTCTGTGCTCCTGGTACCAAAAAAGGGTTTCGACGAAATTTTTCTAAGTCCTATTTTTATTTATTTCCTAAGTTCTCAAATTATTTGTACACATCTTGGCAGCAAAACAATCAGCTTTAAATGATCATAACTTTAAGTCTGTTCCACGGATTGCAATGATATTGGTATCCATTTAAAGCGCAAGAGCTGGGGAATGTAATGATACAAGCCTAATTCCAAAATATGACAAAGTTTTAAAGTTATAATCAAACGAATTGCAAACTACCTTATAATTTTAAAGTTTTTCAATACTTTTTAAGCTGAAGTCTCCGTGGATGCGAAATTCTTCAAAAGTATTATGTTTTATGTAAAACTAGAATTCATAGGCTTTCCATGGATACCAATATCATTAAAATCGCTTTAGCCGTTATGAAGCCAGAAGAACTTAAATATTTTGAATATGCGATTTCAACCTACTACTTCATTCTGTGCTCCTGGTACCAAAAAAGGGTTTCGACGAAATTTTTCTAAGTCCTATTTTTATTTATTTCCTAAGTTCTCAAATTATTTGTACACATCTTGGCAGCAAAACAATCAGCTTTAAATGATCATAACTTTAAGTCTGTTCCACGGATTGCAATGATATTGGTATCCATTTAAAGCGCAAGAGCTGGGGAATGTAATGATACTAGCCTAATTCCAAAATATGACAAAGTTTTAAAGTTATAATCAAACGAATTGCAAAATACCTTATAATTTTAAAGTTTTTCAATACTTTTTAAGCTGAAGTCTCCGTGGATGCGAAATTCTTCAAAAGTATTATGTTTTATGTAAAACTAGAATTCATAGGCTTTCCATGGATACCAATATCATTAAAATCGCTTTAGCCGTTATGAAGCTAGAAGAACTTAAATATTTTGAATATGCGATTTCAACCTACTACTTCATTCTGTGCTCCTGGTACCAAAAAAGGGTTTCGACGAAATTTTTCTAAGTCCTATTTTTATTTATTTCCTAAGTTCTCAAATTATTTGTACACATCTTGGCAGCAAAACAATCAGCTTTAAATGATCATAACTTTAAGTCTGTTCCACGGATTGCAATGATATTGGTATCCATTTAAAGCGCAAGAGCTGGGGAATGTAATGATACTAGCCTAATTCCAAAATATGACAAAGTTTTAAAGTTATAATCAAACGAATTGCAAACTACCTTATAATTTTAAAGTTTTTCAATACTTTTTAAGCTGAAGTCTCCGTGGATGCGAAATTCTTCAAAAGTATTATGTTTTATGTAAAACTAGAATTCATAGGCTTTCCATGGATACCAATATCATTAAAATCGCTTTAGCCGTTATGAAGCCAGAAGAACTTAAATATTTTGAATATGCGATTTCAACCTACTACTTCATTCTGTGCTCCTGGTACCAAAAAAGGGTTTCGACGAAATTTTTCTAAGTCCTATTTTTATTTATTTCCTAAGTTCTCAAATTATTTGTACACATCTTGGCAGCAAAACAATCAGCTTTAAATGATCATAACTTTAAGTCTGTTCCACGGATTGCAATGATATTGGTATCCATTTAAAGCGCAAGAGCTGGGGAATGTAATGATACAAGCCTAATTCCAAAATATGACAAAGTTTTAAAGTTATAATCAAACGAATTGCAAACTACCTTATAATTTTAAAGTTTTTCAATACTTTTTAAGCTGAAGTCTCCGTGGATGCGAAATTCTTCAAAAGTATTATGTTTTATGTAAAACTAGAATTCATAGGCTTTCCATGGATACCAATATCATTAAAATCGCTTTAGCCGTTATGAAGCCAGAAGAACTTAAATATTTTGAATATGCGATTTCAACCTACTACTTCATTCTGTGCTCCTGGTACCAAAAAAGGGTTTCGACGAAATTTTTCTAAGTCCTATTTTTATTTATTTCCTAAGTTCTCAAATTATTTGTACACATCTTGGCAGCAAAACAATCAGCTTTAAATGACCATAACTTTAAGTTTGTTCCACGGATTGCAATGATATTGGTATCCATTTAAAGCGCAAGAGCTAGGGAATGTAATGATACTAGTCTAATTCCAAAATATGACAAAGTTTTAAAGTTATAATCAAACGAATTGCAAACTACCTTATAATTTTAAAGTTTTTCAATACTTTTTAAGCTGAAGTCTCCGTGGATGCGAAATTCTTAAAAAGTATTATGTTTTATATAAAACTAGAATTCATAGGCTTTCCATGGATACCAATATCATTAAAATCGCTTTAGCCGTTATGAAGCTAGAAGAACTTAAATATTTTGAATATGCGATTTCAACCTACTACTTCATTCTGTGCTCCTGGTACCAAAAAAGGGTTTCGACGAAATTTTTATAAGTCCTATTTTTATTTATTTCCCAAGTTCTCAAATTATTTGTACACATCTTGGCAGCAAAACAATCAGCTTTAAATGATCATAACTTTAAGTCTGTTCCACGGATTGCAATGATATTGGTATCCATTTAAAGCGCAAGAGCTGGGGAATGTAATGATACTAGCCTAATTCCAAAATATGACAAAGTTTTAAAGTTATAATCAAACGAATTGCAAACTACCTTATAATTTTAAAGTTTTTCAATACTTTTTAAGCTGAAGTCTCCGTGGATGCGAAATTCTTCAAAAGTATTATGTTTTATGTAAAACTAGAATTCATAGGCTTTCCATGGATACCAATATCATTAAAATCGCTTTAGCCGTTATGAAGCCAGAAGAACTTAAATATTTTGAATATGCGATTTCAACCTACTACTTCATTCTGTGCTCCTGGTACCAAAAAAGGGTTTCGACGAAATTTTTCTAAGTCCTATTTTTATTTATTTCCTAAGTTCTCAAATTATTTGTACACATCTTGGCAGCAAAACAATCAGCTTTAAATGATCATAACTTTAAGTCTGTTCCACGGATTGCAATGATATTGGTATCCATTTAAAGCGCAAG